GGGCCCCGGAGGCAGGCAGCGCAGAGCCGCCGCCGCCGCAGCCCCGGGCTCGCCATGCTCCTGGCCTCGGCCGTGGTGGTCTGGGAATGGCTGAACGAGCACGGCCGCTGGCGCCCCTACAGCCCGGCCGTGAGCCACCACATCGAGGCGGTGGTCCGCGCCGGCCCCCGCGCCGGGGGCAGCGTGGTGCTGGGCCAGGTGGACAGCCGTCTCGCGCCCTACATCATCGACCTGCAGTCCATGAACCAGTTCCGCCAGGACACGGGTGAGCCGGCCGTCCCTGCCCCGCCCGCGCCCGCCCCCCCTCCCCTCCCTGCCCTGAGATCTCCCGCCTCGCAAGCCCCCGGGGACAGCCCACCCAGGCCGCACCTCCGTGCGGTGGCGTCACCAAAAGGTAGTCGTGCGCGAGGCATTTTACTCCCCATGATCCTATTAAGATCCCCGCTGCAATAAACGTCCATGCTAGTAGCATCAATGTTCTGGTTATGCAAATCGATCTTCAACCTAGCTCCTAAGAACCTCTCTTTTACACCCCGTTTTAAGCGCTTGATGGCCCCAAATCACCCCATAAAGAAATTCTGGGGCTGCCCCTGCCGCAAGCAATCCCTGCCTCTAGCACAGGCTTCCTGCTTTCATCCCTCACACATCAGCTGACCCTGCTTTGCCTCAGGCACCCCTGGGCCTGCCACACATCACCCTCATCGCCCACCTGACTGCCTCTGCCCCTCCTGTGTGAGATGCCTTCCCACAGCTGGGGCAGGAAGAAGGGATTCCCCGCAGGCTCTGGCTCCCTCCCAGTAGTCTAGTATGGGAAGGGCCGGGCCTCCCTGGGAGGAGAGACGGGAGTTGGGGGGATTCTAGGGCATGAAATGCCCTGGATGCTGTGCCGCTGCTGGTGCACTCCGGGGGCTGAAGCAACAGGCCTTAGCAGATGGAGAGAGGAGGGGGAGGCACCGGATTCCGGAATGCCTGGCAGGGAAGCCACTCCCTTTGTCCATGGAGGAGGAGGAGGAGGAGGAGGAGGAGGCAGATTCCTAAGGAGAAACTATCCCCAAGCTTCCTCCTGAAACAGCCGCCTATGAGGGACACTCTGGCCTCCCAGAACACTAAACTGTTTTTTCATAAGAATCAAGTTGGCACTGTGGCCACCACAATCCCACTTCCCAGCTGACCAGCCTGTCCAGGTTAGAGCAAGGAGAGGAGCCTGCAGGGAGAAGGTCAGGGTGGCGGGTCATTGGCGGAAGGGGCAGGGCAGAGCTGCACCTCTGCTTGGCCCAGTGTGTCCAGGCTTCACTGAGGACCTGGGACAAGTCTCTGTCTCCCTCATGGGAATGGGGAGTTGTTTCTGGAATTCTGGCTGGACTTTCCCGAGCCTGTGACCCAGGAGCCTGGAGGGGCAGGTGTGGAGGGGAGGGACTAGAGAGGATGACTGGGAGAGTCCCAGAGGGTCAGAGAACAGCTGTTTGAGCAGACCTCAGCTTCCCTGGAAAGCCCCCGCATCCTGTGCACTAATTAGGATTGTCATGGGAAAGGGTTATCTTTCCACCTTCATGCCCCCATCTTGAGTCATAACTCCCAACAACCTCTTTGCCAAGGACTTTGCAGACACTGGCGGAATGAGTAAAGCTTTCTGCGGAAAGGATTTCAGAAGGGTTATCATCTGGAGGGGCTTGAAACTTGGTGAGAAAGGGAGAGACTGGGAGGAGGAGGGCATAAGGAGGAATGTGAGCAGATTGAGAAAGAAGATAGAGTGTGGCTGAGGGGGAGGGAGAGAATATAATTGTAGGATTTGGATAGAGGTTGTGGAGGTGAGGGAGTATGTCTGGAGAGGTGGGGAGCTGAGCCATGGAGGTGGGACCAGGGAGACCAGCAGTTAAGACACCTGACAGGGAATTCCAGTCCTGCTCAAAATAAACGGACAGGTGTTAGCTTTTCTATTTCAGACTAAGTCTCTGCAGCATATAGAGAACCTCCCTGGTGACATAAAGCTCCCAGCCCCATGTCCCACATTTGGGAAGGGAGAAAGTTTAATCACTGTTTAGAGGTATCTAAGATGGCCATAGTACCTAGGAAGGGTCATAGCCTGACGGGTCCTTTTTACAGAAGTGAAGTTCTGGAGAAAACTGAGTTAACGGACCTCCCCCAGGTCTGACCACTCTTTGAGGACGAGCTGACCGCTATCTGGTGGTTAGTTTAGTCCGAGGCTAGGGCTCCTCAGATTTTAGCCTGGAGGCAGAGAGCTGGCCCTGGGTCATTTTAAAGACTGCCTTAGGGTATGTTTTACGTTCTTGCCTGTCTTTGAGGCACAGGATTCAGACTGCTTAGGTTACATCCACTCATTCTAATGGTCAGTTGGTCGACGTGTGCTGAGCGCTTCCCTCCTCAGTCCCAGGCCCTGCGCTGGGTGCTGAAGGTGCTGGGCTGAATTCCCAGGAATGCTGGGTCTGTCAGGGAGCTTGTCAAAGTAGAATAGAATCTCTGGGTTTCTGGGCTCGGAGCCCCCTCCTCTCCCTTCTCCGCCAATAGACACACAGTTCCTCTCAACATAGCTCATTGATGAGGCCGTGACAGGGTAGGAACTTTAAACCACGGGCTCCCAGGCAACTTCAGCCAAGCCCTGGCAATGTTTAATTAAATTACCCACCATCCCCAAGCCATAGTTTGAAGCTGGGAACCAAAAACATCCCCACAAACAAAGGAGAGCTGGAAGTCCCCTGCCCAGAGGCGATTCCTCTCTTTTTTGTTACCTCCTCTATGTGGGGACATTTCCTGACATGGGAGCTTTGTTTTTTCAGAAGTTGCATGTCCTGCTGCTGAGTGAGTCCTTGGACTCGCTGCTTCCCTGGGCTCTGACTTCATCCAGCCTGTCTCCAGGGAGATGGCCAGGAGGTTGCAGACACCCTCTGTCCGCCTCTGTTTGCCCTGGGCCCTTCTCTTTCCCCAGACCTCCTCCAAGTCTGAGGTTATTTGCATTCTGTGCTTGTCTCCTCTAGACATTTTAAGCTAGAGAATCTGGAAGAAGGGAGGAGATGGGGCTTTGGCTGCTTCCAAAAGCCTTGGTTGGGTCCTCTCCGTCTGTGGTCATTTACCTTGACTAGGCTGACCTTTTTCTGTTGTAGGGCAGTGACTGGAATGCTTTACTTCAGCATCACTGTCTCTTCCAACACACCTGATCACTGCCATCTCCAGGGCTCCAGCAGCAGGATGGGGGAAGACCTGGGCTGGGAGTGGGCAGACATGACTCGGGCTCTCATCCCAGACTCATTGGCTTACTGTGTAACCTTGAGCAAGTCCCTTAACTGCTCAGATCTCATTCTCCTCTGTAGAATGAAAAGCAGCCTTAAGATTTCTTCTGGCTCCTTTTCTCCCATCGTACAGATCAGCAGGTGAATGATTTGGCCCCCACACCAGTGATGATGACGTGAGGGAGGGTTCTTTCCAGCTTAGAGTTTTCTGTGCAACTTTTGTCTCTTTTATGTCTTTAATGTGGTGAGGAGGGTCAGACAGAGAGACCTTAAAGGATTTGACAGAAGCTGATTTTTAGGCACCCCCCCCCACTATATGCCCCACTTTGTGTGAGCCCAGGAGTGGAGGAGACAAGTGTCATGATGACCACAAGGTAGTTACCGTATGGGGCATGGGCCAAGCACATTGCACACATTACCTTGTTTAATCTTCACAGTGATCTTATGAAGGAACTAGTGTTCCTATTTTATAGGAAAGGAAACAAGTTGAAAGAGATTAAGTTGCACAAAGTTTTACAAGGCAGAGCTGAGATTCCAAATCAAGTGTCCCATGCTTTACTCCTTCATTTGATGAACACTTATGGAGCACCTGCTTCCTGCAGGCACTGTGCCAGGCATGTGGGACACAACAATAATAAACTTCCAAGTCTTTGCCCTCGTGGAACGTTCTAGTGGGGGTGAGAGGTGCTGGTAAGAGAGGTTTGGGATTTCTTGGGTGCAGCATATGTTCTAACACAGTGTTGCATAGGTATGGGTGAAAAGAAATGTCCTAGAGATCTAGGGTCATGCCCGGAAGTTGTTGTCTCCCATTTCCTAGGAGCCAAAACATCTTGGGTGCTTTGAGGTATAGTGTCTGAGTTGCTAGGAAAAACTGATTTTCTTTTTATTCCTCGTCAGTCTGTGAACATCCTTTATCCTTGTCCCATTAGAAGCCTTTTCCTTGAGTCACTGCATGTTAGGACCAAATAGATTTCCTCAGATGATCTAGTTCATGGTCTTGATTATCGAAAAATCCAGGGCTAGCCCATTCCAGATAGAGTGGTCTCTGAAAATAATCAGAGAATGAAATCCTACCATCTGTCTTTTCCCTAAATGTTGTTTCTGAGGTCTGCCTGTCATCTCTAACTAACCCTCTAGGGCTGAACTGAACTCAACTGGCCAAAAACTGGCTCTTCTTCTTGACACCCCTCTGCCTATTAATGGTGCTACCATTTTACCACTTGCCCTTGGTCAAAACCTCGGGATTCTTTGACTCGTTCTGTTATTTGGGCGCCCAATATGAACACATAAACCATGTGGCCCAGCAGTTGAAACTTGAGTGTACATCACGAATGCTCGGTGGTTGTTCACATACAGAGTCCCAGGCCCAGTCCCTGGAGAGTCTGACCCTTAGGACTAGGGGGCATTGCTGATCCATACTGCAGGAGATTCTGAAGGAGGTGATCCTGGAACCTCTCCTTCTCTCTGAATGAAAGCATTTAGTTACTCATGGTCAAGTCCTCGAATTTCCTCTCTGTGGGGTCCCTCCAGTCTGTCACCTTCTTTTCATTTTCACTGCCAACACCCTCGTTACTTCTCACTTGGAACCAATTAACAGAGCAGCTCTGGTCTTGTCACTTCTCTGTGTCACAAACCTCACTAGCTTCTCATTGCTTACAGATAAAACCCATCACAACCTGGTGTTATAGACTGTCTATCCCCTGGCTCTCACATAGCTTTCCAGAGTTATCTTCCTCTATGCCTTATATTTTCCTGTACTTCTGCCCAACAGATGTCCCTTTTATCCTCATGCGTTCTCTCAGAGCTCTCTGATCACCCCCTAAAACTCTTCAGAGTCTCTTCTACCGAAATGCCCTCCTTTGCCACTTTTATGTATTGAAATTCTCCCATCATTCAGGTCCTATGCTATTTGTCATCCATTTCATGAAATGTTCTCCAAACCATCATTACTTCATTTATTAAGTTGATATTTATTGAGGCCCTAGGACATGCCAGGCATGGGGGAGACAGCCATGAGCAAACACCTAGATGCCCACTTGTGGGATTGGGAATCCAGTGAGGGAGACAGACATTCATCAAATTAATCACACAAATAAATGTGTAAATGCACATCAAGATAAGTGCTATAAAAAAGCAGGAATGGGAATTTGACCTGTTCAGGGCAGCCCAGAGAGGTTTCCTTGAGGAAATGAGCAGAAATCTGAAGGATGAGCAGCAAAGAGGATGCCAGAGTGTTTTGGAGGAGGGACCAACATTGTGAAAAGGCCTAAAATCGGATAAGCATGGCAGTGGGGCAAGACTAAAGGAGGCCAGTGTGGCAGAAATGTGGGCAGAGTGCATAAGGGTGTGGGGGGGCTGCAGAAGCTGGTGGGTGGGGGGGATTTTGGTCCTGATCTAAGGGGAAGTCATGGAACAGGTTTAAGCATGGTGAGATGTGGTCAGATTTTTCTGCCAACATGCATTTTGTTGGCACACTTCTTGTGGCATATTCTGCCTCATAATAGTCATTTGCACACTTATCTTGTTTTAGACTGTAAGCCACTTGAGGAGAGTCTGAATCTTTGCATCCCTCATAGCAGCTAGTGGGTACCCAGCAATATGTGATAACATGATTAAGTGCCAAAGAAGCCATAAGTCTTCATTCAATCACAGCACGTTTATGGGGCCCTCGTCACTGCCAGACACTGCATTAGGCTCTAGAGTGCAAAGAGTTGTACAGTGGTATCCCTGCCTCCACTTAAGTCACCGTAAAAAGTGCCGAGATACTGGTACACATCAGGGCACAAGCAGATATGCGCCTCAGACTTCCTGAGGGAGAGGCCTGGGCTGGGAGATCATTTCAAAAAATGGATGGCAAATGGCATAGGACCTGAATAATTAGGAGAATTTCAACAGAGAAAAAGCAAAGGAAGGCGTTCCAGTAGAAGCAACCCATCGAATAGTAGGGGGCGTGGCCAGGGAATCTGATGGAATGTGTGAGGATAAAAGGGGCATCTGTTTGTCAGGAGTGGAGGAAGATACAGGCAGAGAGGAAGATAAGCCTGGAAATGTATGTGAGAGCTAGGGCATAGTTCCCAGAAGTTCTGGGGCAACTCTGAGGCATCTCCGGGATTGATAACACTATCATAAAAGATGCCTTTTGAGCACATTTGTGAGAATTGGTCAAGTGTATTGTCCCTGCTACCCTGAACAGAATATGAAATAGTGTCATTTAAGCTCTCTAAACTTAATTTCTTCATCTCTAAAAGGTGTGTCATAGGACTGGCGTGAAGATCATATGGGGTGGGGTGGGTGAAAGTGCTTTCTAAATGATAAAGATTATACAAATACAAGTTATATATAAACACTCTCTCTCTTCCGTCTCCTCCTCCTCCTTTCTCTCTGTCTCCAGCACACATTGCATCCCCTGAACTAAACTTGCCCCATATTTTCTATTATATGTCCATCCTGCTTAGACATATAATAGAAAATAAATTACAATAATAGTCACCAACTTTGACTGAGCTCTGCCATGTGGCAGGTGTTATTTTAGCCCAATATATTCATTCCTTCATTTCATCCTCAAGTCCACCCTTTGAAGTAGCTAGCCTGGACCCAAACAGATGAGGAAACTGAGGCTTCATCACACAGCTGGAAGGGAGGAAACCTCCACTGTTGGGCCCAAAGCGTGTGCTCTTTGTTCCCCAGTGAGCAGGCTACTCAGGAAGGAAATGGAGGCCAACCAGGGAACTGTGGCCCACCCCCCTTCTTCCTCCTCTGTCCTCCCATCCCGCTATCCCCATGTGCTCCAGCAGAGCTCATGGTGCTGAATAGGGGATTGTTCTGCTTCTCTCTCTTGCCTCTGAATGTTGATGTTTTGGGTCATTAAGGGGCCTGGAGATGGGGTGGGGGGCGAGTTATGACCCTGGCAAAGGCCTGAATAGCCATTGTTCCTTTTCTTCCCCCCTTGAATGGGATTCTGTCCCCAGTCTTGGTGTCTCCCTCTGGGTTGGAGGAGGGGTGGGTCAGAGGCCGGGGAAAGGGACCCTTTTCCCACCACTTTGATGGATAGGGCTTAAGCTGACAGATGCAGAGATTCTAGCATCCTTGGAGCTCTTCCCGGCCTCCCCACCCTGCTTTGAGCCAAGCACCTTCAGCCTTGATGTTGATACCCATGAAAGGAGCCTTGGTTGGGGATGGGTCTGAATTCAGATTTGGGGTGGGTAGGGGAGAAAGAAGCAACAGTTACAGGGTTAGTTTTCCCTTCTGATCCCGCAGGTTCATTTCTGCTGTTTTATTCCCCCAACCTCTTCCCTGCCCCTCAGTGAGACTGTGAAAATTGAGATGATCCTATCTTTAGGAGGGTTTGAGTTTCTTGCAAGAAAGACATTAGATAAGTATAAAATTATTCTTATGACCGTTATTATTGCTGTTGATATAAGATTTAATGCTGGGAAATATGAGAGTTCTCTCAATCTGATTTTCCATTTTTTGCCACACCCATAAAGGTACAGAGAGCTAGCTCAATCGCCTCCTCCTCTGGGCAACCTTCCTGGTGAGGGCAGAGTCTTCCTCTGTCCTCTAGGCTTCCGTGACCCTGTATTCTTTTTCCCCCATAGCCCTCAGGGCAGGACTATTTAGAGGTACAGAGGAGAAGGGATATGATATTTATGAGCACCCACTAGGTGTCCAAGGCTTTATATGACTTAGTGCAAATTACAGGGTGCACGAGAAATCCAGGACCTGGCATATAGAAATACGTGTTTGTTAAATGAAGAAGTGAGTCACATTTAATTTTCACAAAAAGCCTGCGAAGGAGTTATTATCCTATTTATCAGGGGGAAAAAAGAGGCTGAGGGGTTCTATATTAGTAAGTGAATGGACTTGGCTGCAGACTAAGGTCTCCAGACTCCAAACCAGGAGGTGCTCTTTCTGGTATGTGGCACTGCCTCCACCTCCTTCCCCTTGTAACTCGTCTGCTCCCACCCTTGTGAGACTGTAGACTCCTAAAAGTCAGGAATGAGTCTCATTCAAAGCTGATACCTCAATAGGCAGCCTAGGGCCCGGCACATGGTAGGACTCCTTTAATGTCTGCCTCTTAATGTAATGCAATTAGGTTTCATTGTTACTGACCCTGACCCTCTCCTCTGTCTCCATCCGGCAGGGACCCTCCGCCCAGTTCGCCGTAACTACTACGACCCATCCTCGGCCCCTGGGAAGGGCGTGGTGTGGGAATGGGAGAATGACAATGGTTCTTGGACGCCGTACGACATGGAGGTGGGCATCACCATCCAGCATGCCTATGAGAAGCAGCACCCCTGGATCGACCTCACTTCCATCGGCTTCAGCTACATCATTGACTTCAGCACCATGGGCCAGATCAACCGGCAGACCCAGCGCCAACGCCGCGTCCGTCGGCGTCTCGATCTCATCTACCCTCTGGTCACTGGTACCTTGCCTAAGGCCCAGTCCTGGCCAGCCAGCCCCAGCTCGGCCGCCTCACCCCCTGCACCGCCCTGCTCCTGCCCACAGTGCATCCTGGTGATGAGCGTCAAGGCGGCCGTGGTCAATGGGAGCACCGGGCCCCTGCAGGCCCCAGCAGCCCGTAAGAACATGCCCCCATCTGGAGCGGTCAAGCTGCCCCCACCATCAGGCCCTGGGGCCAAGCCACTGGACAGCACAGGCACCATTCGAGGCCTGGTAAAGACTGCCCCATCGCAGGCCATCCGGCGACAAGCCTCTAGCACGCCGGCAGGGGCGGCTGTGGGCTCCCCTGCCAGCCCCCCGGGAGGCAACGGCAAGACCGGAAGGGTGGCCCTGGCTACCTTAAATCGTACCAACCTGCAGCGACTGGCCATCGCCCAGTCCCGGGTGCTGATCGCCTCTGGGTAGGTGCTTCCCTGGTGGCCTCTGAGCATTTACTCCTCACAGGCATAGGACATGACTGGTCTTCTGGGTCAGAGATGAAGGAGGGACAGCCAAGACCTCAGCTCCTCATCATCTTGTCCTGACCCTCTGGCTGCAAGTGGAAGGCAGCATGGTGGATAAGGGAGGGTTTGGCGTTTGGGGTCCGACAGATCTGGATTCTAATTGAGACTCTCCCTCCTACTAGCCGTGTGATTTGGGGCAGATCCCTAATATCATAGAGTCCTAACTTCCTCCTGTATAAATGCCAGCAATAATACTCATGTCAGTGTTGCTATGAGGGTTAAAGAAGGTTATGCATATAACTACGTTATAACAGGGGGCATTAACTGAGCTCTCACCATGTTCTAGTTTGAGCTTTATCATCACTTCATTTAATCCTTACAGCTACTCTGGGAAATAGGCATGTTGATCCCATTATACACATGAACAAGGCAGAAGTTGACTTGCTCAAGAGCATGTAGCTAGTCATCTGCTGAGACCAGGATTCAAACTTTAGGAAGTCAGATCCCAGACTCTCTCCGACCCTGCTGTGCTGCTTCCCTGTGGAGCACGTACCACAGTGCTCGGCATACAGTCAGTGCCAAATGAGGGTTAGTCCCTTTCCTCTGGTCTCTCTGGAAGCTGGAGGGGTGACCCCAGATTGGAATAACAGCGCATATTTAGTGAGTACTTACTATGTGCCAGGCACTGTCCATCCATTGTCTCAGTTATTCCTATAACAACCTGGTGATGTAGGTTCTGTTATTATTGCTTTTTATGATCTTCCTTGTCTTCCTGATCATAAAATGGGAGAGGCTGAGAGGTCCTTGCGGTGCCCACAGCCTTGGCCTGCCAGCCCCTGATTTCTTGTGAGATTGACCTCTCGCACCTGTCCAAACTTCCCTTTGCCCAGGTTGGGATGGGTTAGTTAGGTTGGACACCTGAGTGTGAAATTCAGGCTGCCTGGAGGAGCTCTGCACATAGAGGTCAGTGCTGGGAGGAGACAGGATGGAGGGTATACTGCAGGGTGAGAGGCCCGGCCTTTATTCCTGCCTCTGCCACTTGGATAAGCCATGGGATCTTTGCAAGGTCCAGTTTCCTTGTGTGTGAAATGAGGATCGTCATGCCTGCCTCACCTACCTGTTGACACACAATCCATAATCAGTTGATAAATCAAAATTGGGTTGACTTTATTATGAGTCGGATCTGAGGGCCAGCCCAGGGCCTTGCTTCCCCAAGTGAGATGTACAGAGTGGTTATATACCATCTTGGAACAAAGAGCCTACATCACATATGATAGGAATGTCCTGTTTGCAATTGTCACGAGATGCTTAGCTGGCACAGCAGGTTGCTGGTCAGCAGGTCAGTGGTCACAAGGTGAGCACAGCAGGTCAGTAATTCATCCTTAGCTTCCAGAAAGAGATGCTTGTCCTTAAAGAAATGCTGATATGGGGGGACTACACCTTAAATATTCTTGTCTTTGGGACATAGTAAATATTTGAAGCAGATGTATAATGCATGCTCAATAGGCCACGTCAGGCCCTTTTGGTCAGAATGAATTAGTTTTACACCAAATGGCTTCCTCTTATACCCCAATATATTCTAGTGCTTTTCATTTATTTATCATACCTCACGGAGCCATTGTGCAAACCTCCACTAAGGGATCTCACCCCTTAACAGTTTACCCAATGCACTTGCCTGCACACATTGGCGTTATCCCATTCCCTGACCCTGTGCTACAAGTGTCAGGCATGGGCACTTAGCTCAGAATTAACTCTCCAAGGAGAGCCACACAGCTCGTGTTCCAGAGTGGGGGCTGGAACCTAGGTTTTAGTCTCCTCGTCCACTGCTCTTTTGGCTAAAGCCCAGCTCCTCATTTTATGTGAAGGCAATTTATAAATGGTCAGATGCTAGTCAGATACACACGGGATTTTCATATGACTTCCCCTGAGCCGGCAGAAGTATTTGGGAGAGGGAATGTGTATGTAAACCGCGCCGCTTCTCAATTTCTCCACACTGTCGCACAGCAGTATCTGGGGGCCCCTAACACAGCTCCAGGGGGATTACTGGTGTGGCAGAAGGAGACTCGCATGGTGGGCAAGAACACAGCCTCCAGAACCTGACTGCCTGGGCTCGAACCCAAGCTCCTTGGTGTGTAACTTTAGGCAAGTTTTGCATCCTGTCTTCAGTTTGCTCATCTGTAAAATGGAGATAGTAATAGTACCTTCCTTATAATAGGGTTTGTCATGAGGATTAAATGAATAGTGTATAGATTTAGCAGCATGTTTGGCACTTAATAAGAGTTCGGTCAGTATTAGCTGCTATTTTTATTATTATCAGCAGGTTTCTAGTGAATATGCAGTGTGTAGTTATTGAATTGAAGTCAAAGCTGAGCAGAGTCGAACACCCCACCTCATTTCTGGGGCCCTTGACAAATGCCAAATGACTCCATGCCATAACTGAGAGAAAGGAGCCCCAGATCGCTTTAAATCTCAATGAGGGAGTCGGCAGCTCTTTATCTCTCTGCTTTATTCCCTCTGCCAATAGAATTGGAGCCAGAGAATAGGGTGGAGGTGGAGGTGGAGGTCCCAGCAGCCTAGTTTCAAAAGGGCTATGGAAACAAGTTGTTTTTTTCTCAGCTCTGTTTTCCTGACAAGGGAGGCACCTCCCCACCCCTCTCTATCTTCCAGCCCTTTCCTTTTCACCTCTTCCCACCTCCCTAACCCCCACTACCATCTTCTCCTCCAGCCTTTCTTGGCCATTTAATTAGCGTGTTTATTCCCTTTGTCTGGTATTGCCATCGACCTTCTGTCGTGGAATGGCCCCTTCCCCCTCCTCTCTCAGCCCATGACCTCTTCAAGCAACTTTCCCACGGAAGAAAGGAAGACCAGGGAGGGCGGGAGAGGTGGGATGGAGAGAAGGGTTTGGGGGGAACAAAAGATCCTGTGAATTATTCAGAGACACAAGCAGGGGGTTTCTAAAGAGAAGAGAGAGGGGGCCCTGCAGCGGAGGGTGGGAGTCGCCCCTCTGGCCCTCTCCTCCAGAATTGAGGCTTCTGTATCTCCAGCGAGACCTTGGTTGCTGGAGAGACAAGATCATTGTTCTGCTTGAGGATTCCTGGTTTGGCTCCTAACTCCAAGAAAAACACTGCTGCTCACCATGGTATCTGCAGAGCTATTCTCCCGCCATTGACCCCCATCCCCCACCACCTTGTCAGCTCTTCTCTTTTCTTAGTTTTATATTTTAGGGACAGAAATTAAAACTTGGCCCCTCCGTAACTGGGAACAGCCCAACAAAATGGGGGCAGTGGAGTGTCTGCTGATTGACAGACAAGTGGTTCGGTCAGACAGCTTTGGCCAAATGGAGTTGCCTGGAGGATGTGAGAAGCAGGTCTGCCATTGGATTGCTGATTTCTAGAAGCATGGCTCAGGTATATTTACCTGGGGCCTCAACGGGGTGTGACTGGTGTGGACTGCATGGGCAGGTCTCCACAGTTTTCATTTTAACCAGTAAAAGTGGGGGAGGGGTGATCAGGTATTGGCAACTCAACAGTCCTAAGTACTGCCCAGCACTCAACTTTATGCTTGATGTCCTCAAGAACCTGAGAAAATTGGAATATTAAAGCAACAAAAGACTTTATCAAGCCCCACTTCCTCTTACCATTGGGAAAAAAAAATGTAAACTATCACCCAAATTTGCACAGGGCTTGGCTATTTACAAAGTATTTGACCTAGATCCTAAATCCTCATAGGAACCCCACAGACGGAGATTTAGGGTGCCCTGTTACAGCTGTGGTAACTTGGATATGGTCAACGAAGTGAAGAGAGGCTGTGTGGCTCTCCCAAAGGCACAAAGTCAATGCACAGCTGGGCTAGAAGGCAGATTTCTGACCCCTGTGTGGGGCTCCTTCCACCATACCCTTCCGTATTTCACAAGCAAAAATCCCCCTCCTCCCCAACCCTTGCTGCCGCTGTCCAGAGCCTAGTGACAAGCCCTTCCACCATGTTGTCCCTTTCCTGGCATGGCAGGGACACCCACCTCTCCCACAGTATTCATTCTCCCACAGGCCCCAGTGCAGACCCTCCCTTTCTTCAGACCTTGCCCCCACCCAGAGTTCTTGGGCTGCCTGGGGTGTGCGCTCCGAGAATTGGCCTATTTCCTGGTTAACCAGATTGGGTGTGGAAACCTGCCAGTCCAGTTTGTAGGAACAAAGGAGGCTTTTGTGACCCAGATCACAGCTACTTATCAGCTGGAGTGGGGGCCCTGGAAGTGTTGAGGGGGAAAGGCAGGTGCTGGGCTGGGCAGCGCACTGCCCCCTGGTGGGGAGCCGGGGAACAGGCACAGGAGGATGCGTCTTCGCTCCCAGCCTCTCCAGGTACAGCCTGGTGAGGAAGAGAAACAGCCATAGGTGGGGGACCCAGGGCTTAGGCTGCCATCTTGTTCTTAGTTACTAGGGTGGGAAATCGTCAGAAAGTCTCCCTGGCCTCTTTTAACCCGAGATCCTCACAGGTTTACAGATAAGGAAATTGAGGCTCAGTTAAGTCAAGGGACGTTGTGAGGAGTTACTGGCAGGATGGGGACTCGAACCTGGTTTTCCTGACTCCCCGTCCACCATACCACGCCTGGTGCGGCAGGTCACAGAGTCCAGAATCAAGTCCGTGCCTCTCTTCTTGGCCGATTTTCCGTTGTTTTGAATCACCCTCCCCCCATCGGGGTTTGATTTATCCTGGGGACGGTTTCTGAGTAAAAGCAGCCTTTGGAGGCTTGTGGAGATGCAGACACTCCCACATCTGTTATTTCACATCCTTCTCACAACTCTGGTGCATGTATCATCATTCCTGGGAAGAGACAGAGGCCTGGGAAAACTCAGCATAGCCCGGGCAGCACCCATCCTTGTGGGCATGTGGGGACAGACTGACCCAAAGCTCAGCCTTGAGGTCTCATTCCAGCTCTCCCTTCTCTTAGTTGTGGGTTTATTCCTTACACTCTCTGAGCGTCCTGCTGTCTCTGCAGCGTGGGGTGTTATAAGGATATATAGATGCAAGAGCACAGCCTGGTGAGTAGCTAAAACTGGGCTCTGGATCCAGATTTCCTGGTTTCCTGAGCTGTGTGATCTTTGTCAGGTTGGCTTAACCTCTCTGTGCCTCAACTTCCTTGCCTATTAAAATGGGTTTAATAATACTAATACCTCCTGCACAGGTCGTTGGAAGGACTAGATGGATTTATATATTGTGAGCAGTTAGAACTCTGGCTGGCACAAGGTGGGCTCTATGCATGTTAGCGATTATCATGTGTGGATGAAGGGCCATGGACTGTCTTGTTCATTGCTGTGTCTCCAGCATCTAGCAGGTGGTCCAGCACAAAATATGGCTCAATGTGAATGGACAAATAAACAAATAATAAAGAAAATAAATAAACAAATAAACATACTCTTTCACCCTCTTCCTGTTTTCCCAGACCACCCTACCCCCATAGCAGAACTGCTGGCTTCTCAGGCGGCCTGGCTCCTGGAATCATCTGTAACCCAGTCCATTGGCCTCTCCAAACCCACTTCCCCCCTCCAAGCCCAGCTGTGGAAGCCTGGGTGGCAGGGTGGATGACGCAAGAGCCAGCCCCACATGTCCCGTGTTTTTCTAGCTGGCGCCGTGGGAGGCCTGGTCTCTCCCAGCCAGCTGTGCCATCTCCTCTCCAGCTTGGCTTGAGTTGCTGGGGAGAAAGACAGAAAGAAGAGGAGGCTTTGCCTGATATTTATGATTTCTCAGGAAAAAGGAGAAGCGACAGCTGTTAGAGCAATGGTTTCCAAATGTTGCACTGGGATTGGCTGCATCTGCATTCTCTCAGTGGAAGCTTGTAAAAGTAGATTCTTGTGCCTCACAGGTGGAGACTCTTATTCAGGCCTGGAGCTCTGTCTTTTTAAAAGCTTCTTAGGGGGCTCTTATGGACCCTTAGGTTTGGACTCACTTCTTTATTTTTTCATCCCTTCAACAAATCTTCATTGAATGCCTACTAGTGCCAGACTCTGAACGAAACAGACAGAGATATTTGTCCTCGTAGAGCTTATATTTTGGAAGGGGAGATAATAAGCAACGACTTATTTTAAAAAGTATAATTTCCATGGGGAAAAAAAAAAAAGAGCAGGGTAAGGGGGTGGGATGGAGGGGTGGGCAGCAGTATTAAATAAGATAGTCTCAGGAACCTCATTAAGAAGGTAAGATTTGAGCCAAGACTGAAGGTTTAGTAGGAGGGAGCTAAGCAGATGTCTGGTGGAAGAGTGTTTCAGGCAGAGGGAACCACATACGGAAAGGCTCTGAGGCAGGAGCGTGCCTGGCATGTAGGAGGAACAGCTAGAATAGAGTAAAGTGGTGAGTAGTATGAGAGAGATGGGGGGATTGGGGTGTGCTGGTACTTTGACTCTGAATGAACTGAGGAGCCATTCTGAGTTCTGAGGTTCTGAGTGGAGGAGTGACATGGTCTGACTTAGTTTTTGAAGGTATCACCTCCGGCTGTAGTGCTAAAAACTTAGTGCATCTCTAGTAGGGATAAGTAGTTTCTGTCAGAAAAGGGAACCCCTCAGTGAGGGAAATTTGGGGTCCCAACACTGGCCCAATTTGTCCCATCTGTCAAAACCATAATGTATCTGCTCTTTCCTTCTATAGGGTCCCCACCGTCCCAGTGAAAAACCTAAATGGGTCCAGTCCTGTCAATCCTGCCCTGGCAGGTAAGAGAAACCCTGGGCTGGTCTTGCTTAAAGTAGAAAAATGAAAACAATGAAATAGGTAGTGACCATTTGTAAAACAGAGAGAATTTGGATATTACTTAAACGGGGATTTTAGGAGTTGGGTTGGAAGGGCAGGAAGAGCTTGGGGAGAATTAGACTGCTAAAAGCAAAGCATGCTGTTGCAGATGCGTGAATGAATACAAGTAGAGGGTAAGTAGAGAATTTGCGAGTTATGAGAACTCTGCTAGAAAGGGAGAGAGGAGGTTAATGGGGAGGGAGGGATTTAGCGGGTATTGGGGACCTAACACCTCAGTCCTTCCTCACTCCCACCTTGCCCTTCCAGGAATCACTGGGATCCTCATGAGTGCAGCGGGGCTGCCTGTGTGCCTCACTAGGCCACCCAAGCTGGTCCTCCACCCACCCCCCGTCAGCAAGAGCGAAATAAAATCCATCCCAGGGGTTTCCAACACAAGCCGCAAGACCACCAAAAAACAAGCCAAGAAAGGTATCAGCCTCGTTAAGGGATCCTGGGGGTCAAAGCCTTGGCTCCCAGCCTTGGCTCTGCCTCCATCGCTGAAGGTTGTACCCATGACTTAACCCCCTGTGCCTTAATTTCTGTATCTGCTAAGTGGGCCTAACTAGTACCTGCTCTGATGATTATACCCAAGTGGATCAGATGTGTGTATGGATCAGATGGAGACCCCTTGAGAAATATAAAAATGCAGTGCAAAAATATAGAAACATAAAAATATAAAGTGTGACGCCAGTAAAATATGTTGGAAAGATGACTTTGGCATTGGAACCAAAACAGGCGGATTCAGATCTCCACTTTGTCACTTGCAAGTCGTGTGATCATAGAGAGCCCCTATTTTCTCCCCTTTACAGTGGAGTAAAAATACTCACAACCAGTGTCCAACAGGTGTGCCCTGGAATGCATCCATGACAGTTGGGAAGTAGCCACTCTCTTGTGTCCCTCTAGAGCCTCTAGACGCTCTGGCCACTTGAACCGTCCTTCAGGAGCTCCTTCCTACCTGCCCACAACTAAGGGGTCGCTACATACCTGAGCCTACTTTGGTACCAAAGGACCCTGCCTCAGCTCTGTGGCTGCTCTGTCTGGTCACTGGTATTGGTTGTTAAATGTTTTGACCATTGCCCCTAAACCCCCACCTTACAAACTTGTGAAATTTCAATGGGATCATATGTTGCATTTAGCCTACGGCCTAGCAAGCAATAGGGCCCCAATTAATAGAAGCTTAATTCTTTCAAGAGAAGCAGGCTACTGGGAAGGAAGGGCCTGCATGCCAGCTTTTGGCTGTTGCATGAGCCACTTCCTCAAACCCTTGTGCTACATTTCCAGTCTATCAAAATTTCTCTGATTAAATGAATTTTATTGCCTTACTCATAGTCTCATAGGAAATGACAGGATTTTGCACTTTCCCACTCTTCCTGTTATTATAATAGCACATATTGGACCATTAGCTGGCAAAGTGCTAAGAGGCTGCACGTCCATTGGCTCATTTAATTGTCAAAGTAACCGTAAGGTGTAGGTGCTAGTGCTCTTCCCCGTTTTATAGGTGAGAAAACATAAGTTTAGAGACGTTAAGAGAGTCAACCAAGCAGACACTGACCCCTTTTTTCCTTCGATGCCTCCTTGTGAGGCCGTATCATCCCATCCCCTGCATTTAGGCTGGGCTGCCTCTTATGGGTCCAGTCCCCAAAGAAATTCCAGAATCATTATACCTGTCAGGATGCTTTCCGGAGCATCACCTTTTCCCTGCTGCTGGGCCACATCTGCTGGCAGTGACCACACTGTCAACTTGGGGCCAAGGAAGACCATCCTGAAGCTCTGGTCATAACTTCCTGGTTTCCTGTAAAAATAATATCACTCTGATGCCACATTGTAGATCAAGATAGTACTTAGCACACTGTAAAATCAATGCAATAAGCCTACCTAATATTTTTTAATGTGTAACAGTTTACAGAGTGCGTTCATTTCTGTGTCATCAGGTCATTTGGGCAGGTCCAGGCTCTTCCAGGCTTTTCGATTTCAGTTAAAAAGTGGGTTTGTTGAGGGCTGGCCCAGTGGCATAGCGGTTAAGTTCGTGCGCTCCACTTCGGCGGCCTGGGGTTCACAGGTTCAGATCGCGGGTGCGGACTGACGCCCCACTTGGCAAGCCATGCTGTGGCGACGTCCCATATAAAGCAGAGGAAGATGGGCACAGATGTTAGCTCAGGGCCAGTCTTCCTCAGCAAAAAGAGGATGATTGGCATCGGATGTTAGCTCAGGGCTAATCTTCCTCACACACACACAAAAGTGGGTTTGTTGAAAATAGGCAGGGGATGTGAGGGACGTGACTGCAAGAGGTAAAGGCAGGCATGAACACCTCCCACCTCCTCAAACCACCTCTCTCCTTCTATGCCGTGCTCCCCTTCAAATGCTTACGTACAGTTTCAGAATGAATTCCTCTCCTTTCCTACTCTGAGCCTGGCTAATAACTCCCCTCTCTGGCATGCCCGGCTTGACAAGGCTGTTTGATCCCTTATCTCTGTCTTGGTGGCCTACTGATCATCCTGTCCTCACAGGTAAAACCCCGGAAGAAGTGCTAAAGAAGTATCTGCAAAAAGTCCGGCACCCACCAGATGAGGTGAGTGCAGGGGAGGCAGGGCAGGGCTCACCTTCTCCACCGCCCACTAGCATTTCCTCTGCCAGAGTTTCCGCAGGATGCGGGAGGAGCTGCTTCTAAGTGCTGACTGTACAGAGCTGGTCAGAGCAGAAGCCCAGGCTCCAGGTTCGTGGTCCTGAGCTGCAGCTTAACCTCCTCCACCTCCCTGTTCAGCAAAGTGCCAATTGACTCTAAATTACATTAGCATGACCACCTGAATTTAAGAAAAACAGTATGATAAGCTATGGAGACTGACTTTAAAATGGGCTTGATGTAAAACAGTGGTTCCCAAACAGAGGCCATTTTGCACAACTTTGGTGGGAGTGGCGATGCTACAGGCATCTAGTTGGAAGAGGCCAGAGATGCTGCTAAACACTGTACGATGCCCGGGACAGACCTTGCAGCAAAGAATTATCCCGCCTCAAATGTCAATAGTGCCAAGGTTGAGAAATCCTGCTGTAGATTTTTTAAATAGCCGCCCCTCCACTACACTCAAAATATAATTCCTTTACAAAAGTTCAGCTTAAATAAAGCTCGTCGGTGAGTCTATCAGCAAGCGTTTGTTTCCTCCACAAGCCCTTGGAGGACACCAAGGGAGGCGGTGCATTGTCGCGGCTCTCAAGATTATCTTGTTGGCCAGCCCAAGTTCACATGTACTTCCACCAGGAATTATTTCAGGAATTTCTCTGTTGTGTAAAGCAAGACAAAACTATAGTTAGATTCCCAAAGGCACATATACCCTGGTTTGTGGGTTTTCTAGAAAAGAAGCAGTAACAGCTCACCTGACCTCTGAGATCTTGTGGGAACCACTGGAGATGCTCTGGCCTCCAGGCTGGGTGAAAGCTGACGACGTCTCTGCTCTGTCGCCTCCCACCCCCAGGACTGCACCATCTGTATGGAGCGCCTCACAGCCCCATCGGGCTACAAGGGCCCACAGCCGACAGTCAAGCCTGACCTGGTGGGAAAGCTGTCCAGATGCGGCCACATCTATCACATCTACTGCCTGGTTGCCATGTACAACAATGGCAACAAGGTTAGTGCCAGTCTATGGGGCTGCTGCCACCTCCCATGCTAGGTCCTAGAGGAGCAAGTGTGTGGGGGCCCCTATTGGGGTTGTGCCCAGGTGATTTGGGGAGTCTTAGAGGCACCCCAGGGCAGCAGGGATGATGATCTTGGCTGTTCTCAGCAGGATCAGTAATCCACAAATTATAATGTTGGCAAAACCTGCCTTTATCTTCCTTGTGGGCTATGCTACCCAACTCCCCCCAGTCCCCACACTGGGTGTGGTGGTCTGAGAGGTGGAGACTTCTGTCCCTGAGGGTTCTGAGGGGAATCACAATGGGCCCATGGTAAGTGTTCATTCATAGTGGCATAAATGGATTTCCCAGTCATCCTTCCTTCTCCAGAGCTAGTAATTTTCAGTTATAATTCATTTTCTTGGGACAATTTCTTTTTACTTATTTATTTATTTTTCTGGGAAAGATTCGCACTGAGCTAACATCTGTTGCCAATCTTCCTTTTTCTTCCCCCACCCCGCCCTACCAAGCCCCAGTACATAGTTGTGTATAGTTGTTACACTTATTCTAGTTCTTCTGTGTGAGCTGCCACCACAGCATGGTTACTGACAGATGAGTGGTATGGTTCCATGCCTAGCAACTGAACCCCTGGCCGCTGAAGCAGAGTGCGCCAAACTTCAACCACGAGGCCATCAGGGCTGGCTCTGGACAATTTCAGAACACTCGTGATTTCCCACTCCTTCAAAGAATTAGAGACTATTGCCAAAGTATACCTGGTAGTCCCTTAGCATCCCACTGTTGGAGGGGGGAAGACTGTTTGTGATGCTCATCTTGTCCATTAACGACAGTGGAGTAAGATTCCCCCATGAGAGCTAGTTTCCAGGAATCTAGGAGGGTCCTTCGATGATAACTCTCTCCTCATACTGTCTGAACTTTTTTTAAGTCATTGACTTCTCTTGTGTTCTTTTCTGTGCCTGGGATAACCTTCACGCTCCATCTCCATGAGTTTGAATCCTACTCATTTCTCCAGGCCCAGCTTGGATTGCATCCGAGTCTGAGATTTCCCTGATATCCTCCAACCTCTTACTCACCCAAAAAAATGACTGCCTTTTGGGGAGTGCTCTGTACCTTTCTTGCTGTGGGAAAGAGGAGAGGCAAACTTGAAGCGTGGCTTATTAGCCAAGTGACGTTGGGCAAGATTTTCAGCCACTTGGAGGTTTCATTTTCCGTCTGGAAAATGGAGATAAAACAATATCTACTTTAAAGGGTTTTATTACTATTATTATTCAAATTGATATCTCCTTTGTATTATGGCTATAATTTTTTCATTCATCTTTATGTAGCCCTCTCATTGAACTTCCCGAAGTGCTTGTAATCTTTCTCAGTGTTTCAGAGAGTGTATGCTCAATCGTTGATGGACGATGCATATCTGGATCCCCTGCTCACTTTCCTGACACTAAGCTAAAAGATTTCTTTGGGACTTCGCATTTTAAGAGGTTATTTTGAGTTTAAAGGGGTTTCTTAGCACATTCATTACCTTTTTGATGACTATATTCAAGAAGAATCTAGTACCTCCTTGCATTTATCTCGATGGTGCTTCAAAAATGTTTCTCAAGACACTATCCTTTATTCTCTTTTGTACTAACACATTGAAGCATGCATTTTTCATTTTCTTGGCACAGAAGAGGGGAGAAAAGGGCCCGCAGAGAAACAGAGTGATTCACCCAAGGTCATGAAGAAAATTAAGGCCAGAGCAGAGAATGGGACCTGGGTTTCTTGACCCCAAGCCTTGGGTTCCCATCCTTTTGTCACATGGAGTAACCTCTGCTGCTCTGAATACAAGCTATTCCTTCAAATGAGTAGAGCTTGAATTGAAATGTCTCTAAATATGTCCACAGAAGAGTCCTGCCTTCCCAAGGAGATGGATGTCCTGGAGAGCTTTGGTCCCAGCTGTGGGACAGTGCTTTTTATACATGTTGTTCTCTGCCCATCCATGCCTTCCTTCTCCTCATCTGCTTTTTCTTGCGAGCCTGGAATATGATTTACTGTCCAGGCTGTCATCCTGGCTCTCCTCCCACCCCTCCAGGGGGCCCTTCACCAGGTCCTGCTGCGAGACCATGACTCCTTACATCACTGCATCCAGAGTCCCCCTCTGCCCCCTAACAGAGCCACTGAGGTACAATGCAAAGCTTGTGAGGTTTACACAGACTTGCTGGGCTCCCAGCCCTAACTAGTAGCAAGTCCTTTAATTTTGCTGTGCCTCAGTTCCCTTCTCTGTAAAATGGAATAATTTTTAAGGCTAATAATAATAAGGCTAATATTCCTTCTCAGCTGATGTCAGAAGGTGAAATCTAAGCAAAACAAGAGATGTAAACTCTGTTGTAAGATTTAAAATTCTATAAGTAAGGACATCATTCCATCCTCTAGTTATTTATGTAGACCTCACCCTCCATCCTTCTAAACCAATTCATAACTATTCTTTAAGGACCATTTTCTTAAAGGCATCTTCATTTGCTTCAGCACATGGTGCCCAATTTCTCTTCAATCGCAGTGGTTTCCAAACCTGTATGAGCATTAGTCTCCCCACAGAAATCATAAAAATACTAATAACATTTAGATACGCCTCATGCTAAACATTTCCTATGGATTATCTCATTGAATCCTCCCAACAACTCAGTGAGATAGATACTTCTGTTTTCCTTGTTCTATAAGGAATCTGAGACTTATTTGTCCAAGTCACACAGTGGGTAGATGGCAGAGCTGGGAATCAAATCCAGGAAGTTTGACTTCAGAGTTCATACTCTTAACCACTATGGCTCTGTAGCCTCCCAACTCTGATTCAGTGGACCTGGTGTGGGTCCAGGCGTCTTTAGTTTTTCACAAGCTCCCGAGGTGATTCTGATGTGCTGCTCTCTAGTGCTTGCTGTCGGTTCCACTCTTTTGGTGCTTAGCAGTTAAATAATGATTCCCTCTGTATGGTCCCTGCCCTCATGAGCTGGTCTCCTCAAGGACAGAGTCTCTCTTACCTGCCTCTTCGCACATGGAGCCTGGGGCTGTCTGTGGGGACTTGACCTCCTCTTACTTTGGAGAAAGCAGAAACGGCCTTGGTAACTGGGCAGGGGGGCCGTAAGGTCTAGTCCTCATTTCAGTGCATTTTGACTCCCTGACCCTAAGCTAGAGTGGAGAGGTCATTACCAAAACTGTTTCCCAGTCTGGTTGTTCTGGCCTTGTCTCCTCAGGATGGGAGTTTGCAGTGTCCAACATGCAAGACCATCTATGGGGTGAAGACAGGCACCCAGCCTCCGGGGAAGATGGAGTACCACCTCATCCCACACTCCTTGCCTGGCCACCCAGACTGCAAAACCATCCGGATCATCTACAGTATCCCCCCTGGCATTCAGGTGAGCTCACCCTCAGCCATCGACATTTATTGTTTTAAGTTTAAATGTTTGCAGATAAGTGTTTACCTTAGTCCATTCACGTTGCTGTAACAAAATACCACAGACTGGGTGGCTTTTAAACAACAGAAATTTAGATCTCACATCCTGGAGGCTAGTAAGTCCCAGGTGAAGGTGCTGGCAGATTCAGTGTCTGGCGAGAGCCTGCTTCCTGGTTCCTAGACTGTCTTCTCGCTGTGTCCTCACATGGCAGAAGGGGTGAGGGAGCTCTCTGAGGTCTCTTTTTTAAGGGTGCTAATCCCATTCATGATGGCTTCACCCTCATGACCTAATAACCTACCAAAGGCCCCACCTTCTAATACCATCATATTTGGGATTAGGTTTCAACATATTAATTTTGGGGGACACAAACTTTCACTCCATAGCATTCCACCCCTGGATCCCCAAAATCAATGTCCCTCTTGCATGCAAAATACATTCATTCCATTTCAACAATCCCAAAAGTCTTAACTTATTCCAGCATCAACTTTCAAGTCTAAGTCCAAAGTCTTATCTAAATATTAACTAAATCAGATATGGGTGAGACTCAAGGTACGATTCATCCTGAGGCAAATTCCCCTCCAACTGTGAACCTTTGAAACCAAACTAGTTATGTGGTGGAGCCTCACCGGACACTGAATCCGCTGGCACCTTGATCTTGGACTTCCCAGCCTCCAGAACTGTGAGAAATGGATTTCTGTTTCTACCATAAAGCCAACCAGTTTATGGTATTTTCTTACAGTAGCCCAAACTGACTAAGATGATATTATACCATGAAAAGTCACCTTCCTACTCTTGTACCCATCTATCCGGTTTCACCCTCCCCCACTCTCCACCATTGTTCTTACTTTCTTAGGTCTCCTTCTGGGCTTCTTTGTGCATATGGAACAAAGAGGGCATCTACTCCTCCCATTTTTACACGAAGGATGACATATTAGACATATTGTTCTGCACCCTGCATTTTGCAATTAACAGTATAGTCTATAGATCTTTCCATGTCAGTATAGAGAGAGCTTCCTCATTCTTTCTTAGCTCTGCAGAATAATCCATTGTATAAGTGCACCATGATTTATATTCAGCAGTCTCCATTTGATGGGCATATGGATTGTTTCCAATCTTTTGCTACAACAAATAATGCTGTAATGAATAACCTTGTACGTATGTGAGTATATCTGTAGAATATTTTCTAGAAGTAGAACTTCTTTGTCAAATGGTGTTTGCATTTGTAATTTGATAGATAGTCCTTGGCTCTGATTTTTGTGGGCACTTCTTTCCTCTTTTGAATCTATGAAAGACAATCCTAAGGAACAAATTGAACAGTTTTCCTGACAGTGAATACAAATGTGCCCCTTCCTTCACACATTGAAGCTTTTTCTAAAGGGTCTGGGGTGCTTACTGGGTTCATTTATTTAGCAAATATTTATTGGTTCACCCTTCTTTCCTCCCTCTTCCTTGTCTTCTTCTATTTTCTCTCTTATTTAACAAACATTTGAGGGTGGATTAGGGGCCAGGTGTGTTCTAAGTGCTGGAGAAACAATCGTGAGCAAAACCCTGCTGTCCTTGAAGCCCCCATTCTAATAGGATGAAGAAGACAATAAAGTAAACAAATGAAAAACAAGGTATTTCCAAATAGTCATAAGGGATGTGGAAGAAATAAAACAGGGAGATGTGATAGCCTGCAAAAGAATTGAATAAAAAGCACGATTCTTCTTTGAAGGACTAACCATCCAGTCAGGGAAAAATAAACATACATCACTAAGCTGTAGAGCAAAAAATGGTGTACCCCATTGATAAAAGCTGTGGGAGGCACTGTGGACAAAGGCAACACAAGGCCTTCCAAGTCTGGCGGACCTGGATTCCAATTCCTGGCTGCCTCTTTATTAGATGAGGACTTTGGAGAGCCACTTGACCTTTCTGAGCTTGGTTTATTTATCTGTGTGGACAGAAACCTAATGAGCAGGGATTTTATAAAGCTGGAGATAACGTTTGTATGTGCGTATTGTGGTACCGAGAACAGTACTAAGATGCTCAATACCTGGTCACCATCATCATTTGAGTATCCTGCTTATCAGAATAAGGAGGATGGCTTATGTCTGTCTGACTAGGAGGGTCAGAGGAGACTTTCTGGTGCAGGGCACTCACTAATAGGGCCTTGAAGGACATGACGAAATGGAGGAGAGCGTTTTTAGTTGGAGGATGCAGGAAAATTGTAGAGGAGACAAAGTGGGGGTGTTGAAAGCCCATAAGGAAGATTTTTAAAGGGTCCAAGACTTGTGAAAGTGGGGGAGGAGAGGAGTGAGCATGAAGGATTTAGAAGACTAGGCAGTGAAGAACAATTGTGGCCAGGTAGAGGAAGGTCTTGAACACTAGAGTGAGGGCTGTGGACTTTCCTTCTCAGGCTGTGGGGAGTCCCTGAAGGTTGTTGGGCTTGTGATTAGGATTATGGAAAGTCATGTGTTGAGATTATGCTTTAGGAAGGTTCATCTGGCGAAAGAGTGAGGGATGACCTGACAGACCAATTAGGAGACCACTGCGATAGTCCAGGCTCCAGTAATGGCACTTGAACAAGGGAGGGGACAGGGGCAAAAGAGAGCAAGATGTGGTTGGATGTGGGGGCAGGTGAGACTTCTGGAATGATTCTGAGGCAGCTAGTTGGGATGATAGGGACATGAATAAAAATTTGGAAGTCAGGAGAAAAAGCCGATGGCTTTGGTGGGAAGTAGAACAGACTGAAGTGGGCAAAGGTCGGGATAGGGCCACCATTTCGGAGGATGTTCTTTATCCCAGCCTCCAGGACTGACGAACAGAGAGCCTGAAGAGTATAGAGGTGCCTGCATGCTGCCTTTATAGCTGCCCCAGCTCCTCCAAGAAAACCCAGGCTTGTGTCAAGGCAAATGCATCTCTCTGCCGTCGTTACAGCCATTATGTAGACCCATCCCTGAGAGTCAATAGCTAGACTCTCAGTGCCACATCCATCTCTGGAGATTCCAGGGACCACAAGGGCTTTGGCTTCCATGAGGAGTCAAGATGTTTAAGCTCTACCTTCACTGAAGAGAATGATTTCTTGGGGGAGAAACTGAGCTGGGCGGAGTTGTGACTGCTCAGCTTAGTGACGTGCTGGGAGCACACAGCCTTGCTGGGTCAGTGCCAGGCAGGCATCTGAGTTGGCCACACAGCTGGCAGTCCTAGGCAGGAGAGGAGCAGACAGAGCTGTGGTCGGAATTGGCCTTTCAGTCTGGAAGCCTGGCTTAGAAACAGCCATGGCCATGGGACTGTTGTAAATGTAGAGTGATTTCATATGAATGTGAAATTCAGAACCATCAAGTCTTGCATCTCCAAGAAGACATTGTTGCCTCTTTCAGCTCACAATCATCTTTTCCTTCTCTGAGACCCCAATGCAATTATCGTAGTGCTCAATCTGCCAAATCATAGGTGATCTTGAAGCATGCTATTAAAAAAATTAATATCACAGAATTTTAAAATCATTTTGGAGCCACTGTCCATAATAAAAGAGAGTGAAAAATCTGTGTTTTCTTGTAGTTTTGTTATTTATTTATTCACTCACTCATTCATTTATTCAGCCAGGATATATTTACTGATCATCTCTGTGAGAGCTTGTGCCAGGAGCTGCATGGAATTATCAATATTATATTGGTTTCATCTAGAAGAGAATTTAAAAGAGAGTTCCACAGACCCTGAGGGGGTCAGTGGTGTTCAGAAATTTTAGACAAACATTTGTCTGTGTGTGAAATATGTGCGTTGTTACTGGGAGAAAATCGCTCACTTTTCATGAAGTTCTCAAAGGGGTCCGTGGACCCATTCTGGACCCTAATCAGGAAGCCTGGTTTCTGGCTAAAATCTGCTTCAGTTTCTTTCTGAGACTGCTTTTTAATAGGGGTATTGGGCGATAACAGTTGAAAAGTTATGAGAAGATTTTTAGTCGTGAATATCCCAATCCATATTATTAAACAAGAAAACAAACAAAAACCCGTTAGGACAAAAAAGAAAACCCACAAGAATTATTCAGAAAATTCTCATTGCGTGGCTCCTAGCTCAGAGGCACCTTTGTTATTCTGAGTAGTTTAGAGGTTAAAAAGTCCAGAGTATGCCCCAGAAGGCTGGGCTTAAGTTTTGGCAAAGCCCTTAGCATTATGAAAGTCATCTAACCTCTCAGGGCTGCAAGTTTTCCTAGTTTATTAAACAAAAGAGGCAGAATAGATGATGATGATGATGATGATAAACATTTACTGAGCTCTTACTGTGTACCAGGTTCCATGCTCACTTAACATTCATAACAGTCCCACAAGGTGAGAATTCACATCCTCCCTATTTAACTTGGGGAACCAATGCCCCACGACGGGCTCCAGCTAACATAGCTGGGAGGCGGCAGCTCTGGTCCAAATCTAGGAGTTAGGACTCTGAAGTGTGTATTAAATACCTACTCCCACTGCTGTTTGGGTCTGTTCTCTGTCTAGCCTCTATGGCCATTATTATTGTCATCATTATTTGAATTAGTCACAGCCTGCACTTCCTTCATTAGAAATTTTTATTTTTTTTTGGCAGGGGAAGATTTGCCTTAAGCTAACATCTGTTGCCAATCTTCATCCTTTTTTCTCCCCTGCCAAAGCCCCAGTACATAGTTGTGTATAATTGTAAGTTCTTCTGGTTCTTCTATGTGAGCCGCTGCCACAGCATGGCTACTGACAGACGAGTGGTGTGGTTCTATGCCCAGGATCCAAACCCAAGCTGCCAAAGTGAAGCACACCAAACTTTAACTGCTAGGCTGTCAGGGCTGGCTCTCATTAGAAATATTTTGAAAAAATGTCCTTCACTTTCTTTCTTTTTGCTTTCAGGGGCCAGAACACCCAAATCCTGGGAAGAGTTTCAGTGCCCGTGGCTTCCCACGACACTGTTACCTTCCAGACAGCGAGAAAGGGAGAAAAGTAAGAGTTGCTGGGGCGGTGTGGGGGGGGGGGTGGTGGGGGCTGGGTGGTTCAGGGTAGAGCCAGGGAATTTACTTCTCTGTTAGGGCTCCAAGTTGTGCTTCCCACAGTGCACAAGCTAAAGAGAACTAGTTCTCTTTTAACTCTAGATGCACATGGTAACAAGGTCATATTTGAGTCAACTGTAGGTAAGGGTGGATGTGATTAGGACTTTTTTTGCAGGGTGGCAGAGGCAGAGCCTTTGGCTTTTTCCTGTCCTGGATATTACTGGCAATAATTCACCTATTTTAGGATCCTTTCTCTAGAGGTTTGCTGCTTAACAGCTGGTCCTGGGAACAGCACCAGTGGCAACACCTAGAAACTTGATAGAAACGCAGAATCTCAGAACCTACTTCATTTTCACAAGATCCTGGGTGATCTGATAGCACATTAAAGCTTGAGAAGCATTGCTCTGGGGCAGGGATCTTAATTTGTGGGAGATTATTTTATTTTCATGTACTTTAGTATTCTTTGACTTTTCCCAAAGGGGCAGAGGGAAAAATCAGTGGGTTTCTGGATTCCTAGTGATTCATGGTCAGGCATAGTGGTTTAATGAATTCTAAAAAATAGAATAAAAATTTTATGTTCATTTTTCTGTGGATAAGGCCAGAAAGTCATTGGGTTTTCAAAACCTTCTCTTATCTCAAAAGGGATAAGAAGCATTGATCTAAGTGAGTGTTGTACCCTTTCTTGTGGGGATGCTGGAGAAAATGTTGGATGAGGTGTGTTTCCACTGGCTTTCTCTGGGTTGTGCTGTGTAACAAACAACCTCTGAGTCTCAGCAGCTTACTTCAAAAACTGTTTATTTCTCATGTACTTGGCATCTCAGTGGCTGTGGCTTGGTTGCTGCTGTAGGGCAGCTCAGTCTGCCCCATGTGGCTTCTGGTTACAGAATCCAGGTCAAAGGAGCAGCCCTTCTGTGGTTCATGCCCTTCCCATGGAAGCGGGCAGAGGACCAAGAGAGAATCCAAGGGTAATTGTGCAATCCCACGAGAGCTGCTCCTGGAAACTTGTTGCTTCCATTCACATTTCACAGACCCCAGCAAGTCATGGGCAAGTGAGACAAGGAATGGAGTCATGAACTGCCCACAGGGAGGCCCTTCAGGTTTCACAACAAAGGGTGTGGATATGTTCTCCTGTTACAGGGGAGGAAGCAGGTAGTTCAGAACAATGAGAAAATCAACCCCATCATGAAGATGTGCCCAGTGCAGTGTCCTCACATTAAGAGTCAGGACCAGTCCTGATACCTCTTTGCCCTTAACAGCCACATTTCTGTGCCTGAGCCCTAGATCTCCAGTCCCACTTGCTGGCTAAACGTCTCTGCTATAAAGTCCTGCTGCTAAAACTTGAATCCTCTTGCCAAGAGCTGCTCCTCTTCCAGGCCTCCCTCTTTGTGTTAATGACATACCCAGATGTCATACCCTGGGACCCACATTGGACACATTAACCATCTTGGACTCTCGCTCTGATCCACTACATCCATTCAGCCCATTTTTCCCTGTGCTGCCCTCCAAACCACTCGGCTCCTTTTCTAATCCTGCCACTGCCAACCTCCTTAATGCTTTCATCTTTTATCTGCCACCAGATTAGTTATCCTAAAGCACAGTTTCTAGCATTAATCTCCTCTGTTTAAAATAAAGTAAAAAAAAAATTGTTTTGATGGTTTTCCCTTCCTTCTTTACAAAGTACAATTTTCTCAGCTTGACTCACAAGACCTACTCCAGTGTGGGTGTCAACCTTCCCCTCTCCCTAATTCCTCATCCTTATCCTTCATGTCTGCTGTTCCGGGACCCTAACTTTGGGCCCTGTTGCTGAGCGAGGTAATAAGAGCATGTGCCTTGGAGCCAGACCAGCCTGGGTTTGAGCCCTAGTTCCACCATTTACCAGATGTGGGGACAGGCATAAAGTTTAACATCCTCAAGTCTCTGTTTCCTATAAAATAGCTGTGATAATTTCTATCTGGGTGGAGGATGTGAGAATTAACTGAGAGTAGTATTTGTAAAATGCCCAACGTGGTGGCAGCTATTGTAATTATACATGCCTTGGCTCATATTTATTCACTATGTCTACACATCCTTCTCTATTACTATACCTTAAATCCTCTCCTCCCTCTGAGACTCAGCTCAGAAGCAGCCACCTCTAATGAAACCTATACTGATTCCCATCTGAGAGTCAACAAAGTAATGATTCAGACCATGGACTGTAAAGTCAGGCAGTCCTGAAGTCAAGGCCCCCTTCTGCCACTTACTAGCTGAATGACCAAGACAAGTCTTTTATCTCTGAGCCTGTTTCCCTGTCTGCAGAAAGAGGGTAATGAGAATACCCATCTTATCTAATTGTTGTAACCATTACATGACCCAGTGCTTTGCGCCTGGTTAGTAAACACTCAGGAAATGGTAGCTCATAGTTTTAAAGTCTGCTTTTATGATTACTACTACTATTATGCCATGTTTACAGTAGTTCAGTTCTGAATCTAATACATTTTTATTGGGTGCCTTCTTCATGCTGGGCAGGGTGTTAGTCATTTGTCTTGTTCAACAAAGATTTTCTTTTTTTAATTTAGCTAAATTAGAACATTCTGCAAGCCCTAAAACCTCTCTGGGTTTCACCTATAAAGTAGAGACAACAATAGTGCCTGCCAGACCTGCCCCAAAGTGTGGTTGTGGGGACCAGATGAACAACTAAATATGAAATAGCCTGGAAGAAGTCAAGGCACTTCCACAATGTCACTGGAGAAATAGTCTACAACTTTAGCTGTGGGTAAATTAATACCACATTCAGGTGGGGATGGTAGAGGAGAACTTCAGAAGATCTCAGATCATAAGTGCCTTGAATTCCTAGATCCTATCTTTTAAAACGCAGCTATGATGTTGGCAGCTAACAGTTGTTGAGTAGTATGTGCCAGGCACAGCCCCCTAAAATGCTCACAACCTTTGGAGGCAGATTGTACCATTGCCACTTTATAAGTAAGGAAATTAAAGCTCAGAGAGGTGATATAACTTGTCCAAGGTCACACAGTTAGTTGGTGACAGAGCAAAGACTTAACCTACAGGTCCCTAACTCCACACTCAAATCTCTTTCTAGTCACTGTGCTGCTTAGGGCATCATGATGTAGGAAGAGCAGGACCCTTAGGAGACTCTCTATATTCCAAGGGATAGTCTTTGACCAACACTAACTATCTGCCTTCAGTCTTCTACCTTTACTGTCTTAGGTTCTGAAGCTGCTGCTTGTGGCCTGGGATCGCCGCCTCATCTTTGCCATTGGTACCTCCAGCACCACGGGCGAGTCAGATACCGTCATCTGGAATGAAGTCCACCACAAGACAGAGTTTGGCTCTAATCTCACTGGCCATGGCTACCCAGATGCTAATTACCTGGATAATGTGCTGGCTGAACTGGCTGCCCAGGGCATTTCTGAGGACAGCACTGCCCAGGAGAAGGACTGAGCTGGAGGGGCTTTGGTGGGGAGGGCCATGGGGACCACAGGGCAGGAAGTGGGAAGAGTCAAGGTAGAAGTTGGTGCCCTGCCCTCCCGACTCCTTCATCTCCCCTCCTGTCCTGTCTCCATCCCCTATCCTCCCAACCACAGGGGGGAGCCAGATTGAACAAGGTGATGTCATTCATAAATCTCATCCATCACAAAGGGGACATGGGATGAGGGCCATCCTTGGTCTATTCCCATGGAGTTTTCGGTGCTGGGTAGGCAAGAACCCCCCTCACCCCCTTAAGTGGGGACATGGTCAGCACACTTAGGGTGTGGACAGTGCATGGGCACTCCATACCCTGGCCTTGTGAAGCCTGAGGTTCAGTGCCTCAGCTGGCTTCTTGCTGCTTCCACTCTGCTTTGAGAGCGGAGTTTCTGCTTTTCTCTCCTCCGCTGGAGGTGAGGAGCTCTCACTGTGCAAGGTTGAGGGGCAAAGGGGTGAACTGCTAAACTGCTGTGACATCAGAAATCTATGCCTAGTTGTACAGCGAGGAAGCACTTCTTGCCAAGAGGGTCAGGGAGGCAAAGGCTTCTGGGAGCACTCTTAGCTCTCATGATAGTCCTTGGGTTCCCCGGGCCCTCCCTCCTCCTCACACCTTTGATCGTCCAAAGAGGCATCTGGTTCTCTTGTGTGGATGGATGCACTCTGGGATTCCTCTTTGGGGCAGCATCTCATGATGTTTCCAGCCCTTTTCTGATCAGACCAGAGCCTGCATCCCACTTAGCATCTGAACTGTCCTCAGGGAGAGGAGCCCATAGCCTTCTTCCCAACTCATCCCAGACCAGCTCAAAGACTCCATGAGTTTCATCAAGTCACTGTGAGTAGAGCTCACGCTGGGCTCTGTGCCATCTGTGTATGTGCATATATATGTGTGTGTGTGTGCGGTGTGTGTGCACACCACTGGGCCATGTTGGTAGAGAGTCCCATCATGTTCCCACACTGTTTTGCAAGATGTCAAACCCCAGTTATGATGGGGATCAAACAGCCAGGCTGTGGTCCTTTGACTTCCCTCATCATCTGCCAACCTACCCCATAGTATACTTGGACCCTGATGGAGACAGAACTGTGCTTTGGGAGATGTGTAAGATGATACCTGGACTGATCCCTTTTTATATCTCTTTCGAGATTAGATCTGAGCCAATCTCCATCCAGTCTTGTTTCTATGAGGGCTTCAATCTGTCTCCATACAAATTTGCTAATCAGAGCCCAGAGATGGTGCTGGGCCCTTCAACTCCCTCATCTATTACAGATTGACCTAGAGCATGGAGGGAGCTTCTTTAGCTCATTCCTAATAGGGTTAGGACCACGTTATGATCCAGTCCAACCTGCGTCTGGGTTGTGTTCCAAGATAGACCCTGTCTATCCCCTCCCCAACATTCCTCTTGCCTTTGGCTCCCATTAAGGAATGAATTGGGAGTCAGGGAGGAGAGAAGGCAGATTAAGAAGGGAAACCCAATTCCCCCTTTGAAAGTGGGTTCTTTGAACTGTGTGTTTGGGGGAAATTCCTCTGGATACTTACTAATTTGAATTTATATACCTCATGTTTTGGGGGTTTGACGTATATATATGCATATGTATTTCATAATATTTGGAAGGTTTTTGATGCTAGAAAAATTGAAACAAAAGAACCTTCAAAAATGGTACTTAAGTTAGAACTGGAAGCCAAGCTTTCCTGAGAGCCAGCTCTGGAGCTGCTTGCTGTTAGGCCTGTAGCCATTTTGATGTTAGTGTGGCCAGTGGATTCACCTGTGTGTCACCTAATTTTTCTGGACACGCCGGTGCTAAGCCTTTCCTCATTTCTCAAATGGCTACAGAAATGTTAATCGGCTCCAGCAGAGGGAGCTCTGATAGGAGGAATTGTTCCTGCCATTTTAGTTCCAGTCTCTCTCATCAGTTAGCAGCCATTTTATCTTACCAGCCGACCATGAGATTGGTCCTGAGTTCACTGCACCATGGGGCAGTTTCCTGCCACAGTTAGGAAGGAAACATCTGAACTCAATGAAGAGACATCCCTGCAGGGTTTAATGTCATGCCCCATGCCCCTTGCCAGGCTACCATGTACCCGAGATCATCAGAGAGCCTCATTGTAGGCCTAGTAGCATCTCTACCTTCAGTGCCGTGGTCAAGTATCTGCTAGGATTCTCACCCACAGGGATGAGGAAATAGACTTAGGGTCAGTGGGTGGAAACACACAGCTGTGCAGTAGGAGGTAAGAAAGGAAAGAAGACATGCTTTGACAACTGGCAGTGGGCAGTGGGGAGAGACTGATTTCCCTGAATCAGGCAGAAGAAGGTATTGGTGGGGAAGTGGACGGCCAAGAGCAGAAGAAAGAGATACACAGTGTATAAGGCAGGCAGCACGACAGGGGCAATACCGCTTTGAGAGTAAGTCTTCATACCTTCAAGCCTTTTCCTCTAGGATGTTGACTATGTCTGTGCCTCTTCCTCTCTGAGGATGCTCTTCTTGTGGGACTCTCTGGGCAGAAGGGATGTTGAATTCCCTTTCTAACACTGTGCCATACAAGGCAGGGCGCCTTCCTCTGCCCTTTCTCTTGTGCCAACCTGGAAAGGCACAGTCTTGGGTTCAGCAAGAACCCTGCCAGCAGAGGCCCTGTGCATTCACCACTTTGACACAGGACGTTTTCCCACCAGAAGCCCTGCTGTGTTCCCTGGCCCATACAGGGAATTCCATGCCTTTCCTTTCATCGTCTTAGCACCAGCAGCCTAGTTTCTCCCTTCCTGAGTCTCCAGGGATGACAAATGTGATTGGAGACAAACCCTGTCAGATGCTCATCCTTTAAACATAAATGTGTATATGTGATTGTGTGTGCCTTTGTGTTTTCATCCCCCTCCCTCCACCTTTTGTAAAACTTGGACTTCTCTGCGGTTTTCTACTTGGTCAAAAGTACTCGTCCTGGTATTGCACCATCATGCACATGAGAGGATGGGGGAAAGCCCCGTGGCATACAAGAAAGGGGCTTGTCCCCTTTCCTTGTCTGTGGGTACTAGCATTTGAGTGGGGGATTTCGGGGAGAGGGCAGGTGAATGTCCTGTTGTTTGTAACTGGTGTGTTTTGAAGTCTGTGGTGTTGCTCTGTGGGAGGACATTGCCACCTGGTGCTCATGAGATGTATGTACAGAACAATAAATGGTAAATGAACAATCACAAATTGCTGTTTAACCTTCTGCTTTCTGTACATCAGGGCACCTATCTGTGAGGCATTTGGGGTACCTCCCTAAGTCTGTAAGGAACCACAAACGCTTGCCTTGGATGGAGGGGAAGGTCCCTTTTCTCTATTTTTTTTTTCACGTCTTTTCCACCCACACATTTGACGAAGGGACCAGGCTTGACTTCTTGTTCCTCTAAAGCCACAGACCACACGGCAGGGGAAATAAACAAGTGAACCTTTTGGGGGAAAGACCCTCTCAAAAACTGCCAATATTAGCTTCTTAAAGTTCCCTTCACCTGACCACAATACAGTGTATGTGTCAATAGTTTACAGGCTGTTGTTTTTCAAATAAATGTTTAGTATTAATCATCCTGATACTAACGAGAACACAAAAATAAAATGCAATTGCAAAGCTGCCTTTGTCACCCAAATGTGTGTCTATTTCTGATAGTCCGGAGTGGTTTTCTTGGAAGCTAGGATTCATCTTTCCACAGACCCCAGCCTGCGCTCCCAGTCAGGAAAACACAGCCCACGAACCACCACCCTCCCATCAGGGTTCTAACTTTGTAAAATGACTTGAATGTAAACTGCAAACTCCCACATTCTGATTTCCTATGGAAGCACAGTCAGACAGAGTGTTCCTTAAATACATATTTTAATGCATATTTATGTGCAATTTTGTTATTAGAAATACAAGTTTGTGAAGAGCTTTTTATTTCAACGGTCAGTTAGTGCATTAAAAATCTAGAAACCTATAGACTGTACTTCATCTCTCTGACTCAGTAATCTTCAAAGAATTCATGGCAAAGTTAGTATTTGCAGAAAAGTGGTTAGCTTGGCTGAAACTTACCCACAAAACACCCAGAGGTTTAGGAGAACATTTTAATGCTTAAGAGGCAGGGTCAAGTGAAGAGGTTGTAGAAATCGGTGTCGCTGGCTGAGTAGGCAGGAGAACAGACCTCAAATTCTGTGATTCACTTCTCTTCTCCGTATCATAGTGGGAGATGAATGAGTATCCTCCCATCTTCCCACAGGCTGAGGTGCTTCAAGCTCCTCAGGAGAAGGACCTATTGTAAACCTAAACTCTTGATTGTGAATGTTAACTGGGAGAGGACAAATTATCCTTCATAGACGATAACTCACTAATGACGTGTGATTTGGTGAAGAAATGTTGTGGCGGAACATTAACAGATTCACCCCGGTAATTACAATTAGGTGAGATTCGTATTAAAATCGGGCAAAGCCCCAAATGCCAGGTCACAATTATGCATCCTGCTAGGTGCCCCGGGGAAGTCAGCCTGGAACTGAAAATAAATGTGTCACAAATGTTGTTGATGTCTTTTTTGTTTCATTTAAAAACATGGATCTGATCACATCAGCCCCCTTTCTGCTGGAAGAAATAACGGTAGGGTACATAATTGGTGCTTTTTACTCTGTTTTGGTTGTAGGGAGGAAGTAATACTTAGGTGTGGGCTTACTTTGACTTTTTACATTTTTCCTTGTCTCCCACCCCCAGAAAAATGCAGACTTCCTGTTGGAATGTGGTGTGTGTGTGTGTGTGTGTGTGTGTGTTTGGGGGGATGTGTGCATGTGATGGGAAGACGGGAAGGCTAACGGCCACTCATGGAAGAGGAAGGGGTTATACTTTGGGAACATAGACCAGGAAACTGAAATGCTTGTTCTATCCAAATCTGTGGCTTCTTTCTTTGCCCCAATTATGATGAGGAAGAAACCAGGTAGTTGGTTGTGGGTAAGAATTCCAATTTCCCCTGAGCACCAGAGTCTTTTCCAGTTTTTACCCTTTCTTCACTCACTCCTTGTCTCTAAACCATTCTCTCCCCCTTGACCTCCTAATGGAAGTTTATAAGTTAAAATATTTTCTGAAAACTTTATGACACTAGTCTGCAGTCCAAGAGTGGCCTGGTCTAAGTAAGTCTTGACTGCTGGGAAGTTGGAATAAATGAACTGGGTACAGGCAACATCTTTCTGTTCAGATGATGTTGAGATGACACAGTCCATCAGTATCAGCCCTCAAAGGTGAAAAGCAGTGGCCAAGCAGGACTTCCAGGGTCTTCTGGGGGTCTTGTCAGCCTCCAGGAGCATGAAATTCAGACAGCTTTTTTAAAAAAACAAAATAGTGGGAGGGTAACACTTATAGACAGAAATTCTTGCAGCTCATGAATTGGAAACCCAGCTGACCTCAGATTAAATGCATAGCGTCCAAGTCCAATGTCAGCATTCACCCTTCTCTCTTTTCACAAGGATGCATTCAGGTGAAGATAATTAATGACACACTTAGAGAAAAGACAACCCCTTCTCGCTTTAGTCTCCAGAATGACTTTTGCTTAAAAAGTCACAACTGCTCCCCAACCCCAGCCCCAAACTTGTTCATGTAGCTCTATTAATTTCCTGGCCCAGAGACCCAAGGATGTCACAAAATTATACCTGCTTTTTGTTGCACTTGCCACTTCAATAGTTAGGACGGCAGAAATGGAGAGAGAAGGAATGAAATTCACGCTTGAAGCTCTGGCTGGAGATGAGAAACAGTTTTTTGGGAGAGATTTAGGCTGGGCTCTGCTCGTGGTCTTGGTCAGGGGTATCGCTAGTTTCTGTAGCACCGGGAGCCAAACTCTGCCTCTCACCTTCTAATGCCTGGTATTCCCTCTTCTTATACTTGCGGTTGCCGTAGATGGCCAGGGCGATGACAGCTGCCAGGACAGCAGTGACACCCACTGTGACCCCAGCTGCTGCTCCTCCTGACAGGCCACTACCGTCCTCATGGATGACCTTCATGGCCTTGCGCAGCTCTAATGGCTCTCCCAGCCTCCACTGGTGGGTCTGGGAATCTTTAATCCAGGAACTTGCGGTCTCAGTATTAGTCACTATGACAGTGTTGGTGGCAGCCTGACTCATGAGGGGTGGCCGGGTGTAAGGTGGGAGCCTGGCAGGGGGCAGAGACCCTCCCGTAAAAAGCCCGGACTTGACACAGTAGGACACTTGGCACCCATCACTGATGACGGCTAGGTGTTGGCTGAAGCCCCCAGGACACTTTTTTAGAGAAGGTGCCCCTACATCTCTGGATGTGGCAGAATCCACCAAGGGGTTCCCGGCTGCACAGCTAAAGAACCCACCAAAGGGGACTGAAAACCTATATCCCAACTCAAAGTCCTGAGAGGCACACACCTTGAGGTTTTCAAAAAGGCTCAATGGAATATAGCCAGCTGGGCATGACTGTGCATTTGTCAAAGGGTTTATGCTCTTACCGCTGAAGAGGCCCCCGAAAAGTAGTCCTGAGTTTTCTGGTACTTGGCCAGTGGCCGCACACCAAAAAGCCCTAAATTTGGCCTTTGCCACCCGGAACACATCTTCACACACCGTCTTGCAGAAGATGACAAGGGTGCACTTCCGTTGACACTCCAGGTGGTTGTAACCCTCTTCATGGATCTGGGATAGCAGGTGGACTGGGGAGTAGCCAGAAGGGCAGGAAAAATCACCAGTGAGTGGATTCTTCTGCTCCAAGTTTTGGCAGAGTTGGACAACATCATTTCCTGAGAACTGGGTGCATTCCTGATAAACTCCGCCAAAGGAGAAATTGGTCATTTTCCCCTCACAAGAGCCATCATCAGTGTTGGCCTGAAAGTTGAAGTTGGGTGAATTGAAATCTGTGCATCCAGGGTAGGTGTTGAATGTGTAATAGCGTTTCACAGCTGCTTCCACCGTCTTAGACAACTTCTTCACCAAGGGCCCTGGCAAGTCAGGCAGAGTGTTGGGGTTGATGAAGAAATACAGAGGCAGGCCAGTGCGGTCTACGGCCACCAGGTGGTTGGTAATGCCCTGTTGCCAAACCTGGAGGGTGATGCCTGGGTAAAAAGGAATCCCTCCAATGCTTTGCACCCTGGAGTTCGTTCGGTTTGAGAAGTAGCTCTTGCTGAAGGCATTCTTTGAGGTGTAGTTCTCCTCAAGTTTGAAGTTCACAATGTCTAGGAAGGCAGCACCAGCAGATGCAGTCATTGCACTCTGGCCACTCTCGCTATCCTGCAGGAAGGAGGCTCTGATGTGGTCCTCCTGAATGAGAGCAGCCCCAGCATCCACACTGGTGATGACATGGGTGCCATAATTGAGAACCAGGAGTTCTGCCAAGTAGGTGGCCATCCGTGTCTGGTTGTTCTCCAGACGGTCAGAGATGTCCATGAGCTCCTTCTTAAACCCCCTGCTTAGTTCTGAAGCTGGGTTGATTTTGACTGTGTAGACCAGGTTTCTTACCTGAACCCGGGTAGTGACAGCTTGGTCCTTCACTTGAAGGGTCTTCATCCTCTGGAACTCAGAGGAGAACTTGCCATTGACTTTGGAAAAAAGGGAGAGTTCCAGGTTGATGGAGTAGGAGGTGCTACTCTGGTAATTCACCCAGGAATCCAGGATTTCTGAGTTCATCTCCAGGTTGCTCTCTTTCTGGGCAATGGTGAAGATTTCATCGGGGATGATGTACTGCCCATCCTCTGTGGTCCTGCAGTTGGTGTAAGTCAAGTTCATCACCAGTCCCATGTCCACATTCCGCAAATTATCCCAGCCCCCTCCAGGTAAGACTTCCAGAACAGGTAGTTTCAAGGCATCCTTGCATTTTTGAAATCCAGCCTCATCTGTCTTTCCCAAAGGCTGGTCCGTTTTAGCCCATGCTGCCACTGCCCAGAAGAGGATGGCACCCCTGATGCTGTTCATGGCTCAGACAGCCCCAGCCCCACGCCACCCCTAAGCAGCAGGCCAGCGAGCTTGGTGCAAACTGAACCAAAAGGAAAGAAAGCAGTTGCTGAAACAAAAAAAATCTCTTAAAACCACCAGTTCCTCTTTAGGCTAACCTAATTGCAAAATGGGGAAATGAGAGTTGATTTACTAAGGTCCATTAGCACTTTGAAAAACTTACGTTGTGCTAGATTTGCAAATACAGCTATATCTTCAACAGTTAACTGCCCGGACAATCCTCCACCTTCCCCCAGCCCCAGGCTAGTTACTCAGCAGCAGTAGTGGACACTCGGAAAAAGTGTAACCACATGCCTCGCTGCTTCCTCCCCAGGAGCTTTTCCGGCTTTGAAAGAAAGCTTTGGTTTTGCTTTTTTGTTCACTCTGTTGATGTTTCAAATTTTCCCTGACTGCTCTCTCTTGGGACTCCAGTACCAGTTTCCTTTTACTGTAAATGCAGAAGTGAATGGCCATATCACCCTTGCTGAGACACCCTGTCTCTGCTGTACCTCGGCTAGCTGTAGCCCAAGGCCAAGGCCTGGGTTTCCCGTTCACCTGAGGGTGAAAGACGTTCACACAGAAGAAAGGAGTGAAAATCTTGGACACAAGTCCTGTGGCGTTTTATTGTTATAAGCCCTGATAGTCCTTGCTTTGGAGATGGTGTTATCTAGGGCAGAGCTGAAGGGGTCTAAAGAGGATTCCATTTGCTATATGCTGGGAACCTCAGTCTGCATTGCCCTCAGCATTCAGAGTGAAGACAAGGGACCCCCACACTGTCATTTCCTTTCAGATAAAAATGTTTAAGCAAAGAGAAAAATCCACACTATAATCTAGATGTTGATTTATCAAAAGCAGACAGTAGCCAAAATATATGTGTATGTGTATACACATTTATACATCTTATGTGTGTGTGTGTGTGTGTGTGTGTGTGTAGTTGGCAATAAGTTGGTACCTGCTATTATACCTTTAATTTTTCATTCCATTATTTAGTGTATGTAATCAGTATAAATGCATAAAAAAGAATGTGGCTCTTCATTACTCTATTTAAAAAAAGCAACAATTCATTTGCTATATCATTGGGAGAACATACGTTCATGTGTTTCCTTTAATGTGCTAATGCTAGGTCTATTGGACCCCGTAATTTAGAACAGTGCTTCCAGGCCCGTTGGTCTAGTACCAGGATGAATTGAAGCCCAGCTCTGTCAATTCTTTGGGACAGCCAGGGTGCATCTTAGTCCATTTACTGGTAACCAGGGAATCCAGAGGAGTTAATGAAGCTCCCAATTGTACCTTCATGGCTCCCAAAATCATACCATGAGCCAGATGCAGTGCTGAGACTGAGAGAAGTCATGTTTCATTTCACAAGTATCACAAATTATCACCTGTATATATCCTGGAAAGAAGGTTTCAAGAATAGAATTACCTTGGATGGTCACAGATGCAGCTGACAAACGTTTTCAGAAATAATGAGGCCAGTTGCCTAGCTTCACAGGCTGAGCTTCACTAGTTATTATTAAAACCTCAATGGTGCTCTATAAACCCAGAAATATCACATTCTGTATCTGTCCCTGCCTCAGTTATCCTGCTTCAGGGAATTCACTTACATTCAAGAGAGATTAATTTATGAACGAGTATTCAGTTTATACTCGGCTGGAGAAGCAAGCCTTTGCACAGGATGTCCTGGTTAATTTATAAATCAGTTAGTTATAAATTTATAGCCCAGTAGAGTGATCCTAGAATTAGAAAAATTAGAGTTGAACGCCCTTGAGTACTTCGAATATGTCTGTTGAAATAGCCACAGACTTCTCTTCAATGTGTTTCAGGGCTAGTTCATCAGAAATCAGAAAACTTGCTCACACTGTTTTGGACACATGCTGACAATTTCTTACTCTTCGTTTTCCTTTTAATAGGTCTTGTTGAGACCTCACTCTTTTCCAATGAGAGTACAAGCAAGAGGAATGTAGATAATTCTGTATTCAGGTGTTCCCGTATCTTGAAACACCCAGTCATTGTCATTTCTTTGGAGAGCCTTACTCTTCATTTTTACCAGAGCAAAAAATTTAAAATAACTAAAAGACCCAACAAGAGTGAAATTATATCTCATCCATAGACAAAATATTTTACAGCCATCATAATTATATTTTCAAACAATTTTAATAACATAAGAAATTCTTCTACCATATTGTTACATGAAAAAATCGTGATAGATATTCAGCATGACCTCCACTGCATACAAATATTTATAACTAGAGGGATAGACACCAACTCATTGACAGTAATTATATCTGGTCGGTAGGTTTTATGAATTATTTAAAACTTTTCCTCTTATTTTCTGTATTTTTTGAGTTTTCAGCAATGAGAATGTCTTTACTCACTTGACAACTTTTTATTGAGAAGCTGCTAAGTGCCAAACTCAGGGATGGGTACTGGGTAATCATCCCATTAGTACTCAGGAAAATAAACAACAATTATACAACAAAAAAACAAAAGAAATAAGTTATGTCTGGAATTTCCATTTACCTGAAATGATCCAAAGCCTATGACTCTGCAAGTACTGCGCTCAAGGAAGTTCCTTTTCAGTTCATGGGGAAACAAGGAAAGGAGAAGTGCAAATGGTGGGAATTTTGGCTCAACTTGAATTTGCATGCCACCAGGCTGGTCACAATGGTCAGGTGTGAGGAAGCTGCCTGCAAGAGTTTGACCAGAGCATTTCACTCACTCCTTTCTCGCTTTAATCTGCCCACCAGCAATTTCCTCTACTTTTTCTTGTACTAAAATGCATATGCAGTCGCATAAACTCTCCAGATGGCCGCACTCAAGGGCCTGTGTCTAAAAATTGAACTTATTCTTTAAAAGAAAAAACCAACTTTTCTACAAAAGATATGCATCTGTGTTGCAGAAGAGTGATTTCACTTCCTCTAAAAAGAGGCAAAAGGGAAGTCCCGTGTCTGCTTTCTTTCTCAATTTGAGCACGTGCAACCTTCTGACACCATTTCGTGCAGGGCCAAACCATGATTCATGTCTTAGGTTCAGTTCTGTGTCGGCTTGGAGCCAGTCCTAGTGTTTCTCACTTCTGCATTTCACCTGAGGTCTGAAATGGGCAGGAGTCTGGCTGCATTTGCAGGCACCACTACCTTTCTTATTTTTAGCAGGAATTTAGCAGGAATTTTAGCAGGAATTTGTCTGGAAACTGACAAATAGTCGCTAAATGGATCAGAGAACTATGATTTTTATGGACTCTGGAATAAATTTAGTTCTGGAAAATCTAGGAGGTATCAGTTGACAAAGTGACAATATTTTCTTTTCTGAACAGTTGATTCCTAACCTGATGTTTTGAGAGTTGCTTTGTCAGCTCCTTCTTCTCAGAGACTCTTCTTTCCATCAGGATTATTTGTATCCTGACCACAAAAATAAGAACATAGTGATTTCTTGATTCCTTTTCATCTTGTGGGTAAAAACAGAAGACCCATGTGAAATTCTGCATATTCCTATTAAAAACTAGGCCAGAAGTTGGCAGCCTAAGCCATTTTATGTCTTTTCTCTGTTAACACTTTTCCCTCCCAATTTTTCTAATTCTTTTTATCTTCATTAGCTATTCTCTTTCTGCTCTTTTTTCCCTTTGCAATTTCCATATCTAGGTTTGGAGGACACAAGTCTGTGATTTAAGGTGATACTTCCACTGCACTAAAGAAGGAGAAAATCTTGATGTGGCAAAGACTTAGTCTTGAGGCTGCCACTGCCTTTTTCCTTGTCAAGGCAGTCACACCATCCGTTGCCACTGAGCTCCGAGGCTACCTCAGTACCATCCTCAGCACAGTTCTCCAGGACATTCTAATGGAAATCTGTTTCATCTACCCATTAAATAAATACTTAAAACAATGTTATTTGTCAGGCACCCATTGTAAGTGCCATTTTAGAGCACCCAATGTCAAATTTAATGCTCTTTTAAGAGTCTAGGAGACTGAGTGAGCCCTCGGAGTTACCCATCCCTTTTCATTTACTCTCCAAGCTAAGCTCCATAGAGCCTGAGCAGCTAGGATCAACCTATTCCTCATCCCCATAAGCCTTTAGGTTTCCCAATGACACCAGCCTAATATGAAGCGTGCCTTTTGTATTCTCCTTCAGCTGAAAACAGCTTAACGTGGAGGGCTTTGCTTACAATGGGACTGGAAACAGTGAATTTCTCTTATATCCTTGTTTCTCAGTCCCTACATCTTTCCTATCATGTAACTTCCTCTTTGAGGAAGATTTGAGCAAGGAGGTGACTGAGTGGCTTTGGGCTTCTTAGGGGAGGAAGACCAATCCTCTACCCTCTGGGTCCTTCTGGCTGGGCTACAAATTAAATTCACGAGACAGAATAACAGGAGAAAATCAAAGCTTTAAAACATGTATACATGGGAAACACTCAGGAAAACAGAGCAACTCGCCAAAATGGCAGAGGCTTTCCTCTTAAATACCAGCTTCAGCTAAAGACAAAGGAGGATGTTGGGGGTGGGAAGAGTCAGTTATGGGAGATTACCAGAAAAACACAGTAAACAAGAGTAAGGTTATTATGCAGATTTAAGTCCTTGCCTTCTGCACTGGTGAGAGTTTTTAGAGATAAGGTCATCCCCACTTCTTCCTGGTACAGAGAAGCAGATACATTTACAGATGGAGATTTCCCTTACAAATGTATATGTCTCTTACAAAGAGTAAATTCTACTTTTCAGAGCTTTTCCCATCCCTGCAGTTTTTAAAAGTAACCACCCCAAAATAATCCTCATGCCAAAGAGACACATTTTGGAGTGGCTGATTCTGATCCCCCACAGCTTTTCTGGGTTAACCGTTGGCAGAGTTCATATTTCTATATGTGTTCCACTGTTGGGTAAGACAAAGCCAGTCTAACCTTCAATCTTTCCCTCTTTTACCACAGGATCTTCAGAAGGATTTTGGGCTAAGACAAAATAAACATTACCAACACTTTTCTTTCTACCTGAAATAACCATGAATAGGTTAAGTTGAAAACACGTGAGTTAGGTGATGTGGTTTCTCCATCACAGAATTATGTGGAATTAGGAGCTTTGAGTCTTCCATTGAAATATTTTTATTGTCTCTACTATTTTTTTGGTGATCTAAATATGGGATTAAGAGTGTGGGTTGGGTTGTG